CCCAGCGGTAACTGCTCTCCCGACTTCCAGAACCATCGATTAGATTTGTCTGGTTTTGAGCATCTTATGTCTGGAAGCATACAGTGTACTGTTGTGGGTCTGGCTTCTTTCGTTTAACATTTCTTGTTTGAGAGATTTATCCGCATTGTCACAGGTAGCTGTAGATGGTTCACTGTCATTGCTGTAGAGCATGACATTGTCTGACTGTACCTCAGTGTGCCCATTCAACCGTAGAAAGCACTCAGAGACAGTTTCCAGTGTTTGGCTACTATGAATAGTCCTAAGTTCTTTGACTAATCTTTGAGGTGAAGGAGGCTTAGGTGAAATAAAGTAATTTGCTAAGTTCACACAGGTAATAAGTAAAGGAGTCTGAATTCAGATTAGCTTTGCCTGACTCCAGAATCAGAGATCTTAACCACTGTGCTTTCAAGGCAGCCCATTTTGCAGAGTTAACTGTAATTATCTATATAGTGTGTATACACAAACCCATAAGCTTTGTGGAGAAAAGTGCATTATCCTGTAAGGCTCTGTGCCCAGTCACTGGTTTTCCAATTCTCTGTTTATTTCTTGGATAGTAGCTGTCTCATCCCCTTTTAAACACTTGTTAAAAGTCATCCATTGCAACTAGGAATTAGAGTACTGAGCAGGATTAGGGATCACTCTGGAACAGGAAAAGAAGGAGGAAAACACTCAAGAGACCGTAATCTGACCCGATGGAAACGCAGGGCGCTGTTGTCCTCAAGCTCAGCAGGGTCCTGTAGGAACTTTCAAGTTCTGTTAACCTGCTTTCAAGCACATACACAAGGAAGTGGGAATTTTAATGTCTGACACATGCATGTACATGCTTACTTTTCTCAAGTTAATGCAAAAATATTATTATCCTATAAGTTTTTAAAAACCTAGTCTTGGCTCTCTTTTCTCTGAAGCTGTTGGGAAAATAAATAATTTAATTGAATATTTTATAAATAAATGTAGGTGTGACAAAGTGTCTTATTTGTAAACAGGACAAATTAGTTATTTTATTATGAATATGTGTAGATATTACAAAGTATTAGCACTATTTTTTAAAAAGTTTTGTAAAACCTAAATAGAAGCACAGCTAGATTAATAGGAAATGCAGGTATTTTTAAATTCTAAAACCTGACTCTCTAAGTTAACACAATATCATTTTATACCCAAGAGCTGGTTAATATATAATGATCCCCTCCGCCCCCAATTGTTTTTTGTTTTTTCTCGTTGCTGCTTACATCTTTGAGGAGTTTTGATTGTGAATGCATAGCTCATGAACATTTTTAAATTGCTTATCAACTCATAGACCAAAACTATATTTTTAGAATGTAATTTTAGAATTTCATTAAGCAGTGAACTCTTTCATCTAAAACATCACGCACTGTTTGTTTTAGAGGGAATACCGAGCAACTCATATCCTTTGCTTAAAAATACACTTTTTTTCTTCAAAGCAATTATCTTCTTTTCAGACCAATTTTCTCTTCTCTGGTGTTCAACAGGACTTCAATTCCAATGAGTTTTTCTTTTACTATGCTGATCAGGAAATTATGCCACTTTTTTTTGTCTGCCTCAAAGCCGTGGAATTTTAAGTGTATTTTTTTGGGGGGGGGGGGCGCCAGAAGCATGTATATTCAGGTATAGCAAAGTCTATAAGTTTTGACCCTCAGTGATTGCTAAGAACCGGCTACCGTGACTATTAAATGTACGATGCAGTTAAGCGGTTAAGAACAAAAATTCTTGGAACCAAATTCCCTAGTTCAAATTCTTGTTCTGCTGCCTACTAGCATGTGACCTAGGTCAAGTTAGTTTAAGATTGCTGTGCTTCAGTTTTCTTGCCTGTTAAATGGGTGATGATAATAACGCCTACCTCACTGGCTTATTGTAAGAATTAAGTGGGTTAGTGTACATCAGGCCCTGAGAACTCTGCCTGGCGTATACTAAGTGTTGCATACGTATTTTTATTATTATCTTGAAATCTACTACTTTCCTTTGAAATTTTAACAAAATTCAAAATAATTAATTCCCAATCTAAGAATTTCTTTCTATAACTTTTAATATGCAGCTAATAATGACCCAACTCTGTCCAGAGAGCCTGGAAGCATTTTCTGTAAGTTTACGGAGAATATGCTCTAAAGTTTTCTTCATCTTTTCTTTAGTCTTTTCTATGTTCATTTGCTCCTTCAATCGTTCCTAATTATTGACCCTTCTATGCTGCCTGAGTATTCAGTAAGGAACAAACAGGAAGCACTCTCTGCCACCTGGGAGCTTACATCCGTCTTGGGACCAGGCTGTCAACTCCCTGCATACACCCCCACCCCCAACCCTGGCCCCTGCCCCGAACATCATTTGGAATCAAATGTCTATTTTTCTCTTCACTGGTATATTAAATAACTTATTTTCTTGACTTTAAAAAAATCACTATGCCTGTTGAAATGTGAACAATATGGTAAACTTTGGTTTCAGAAATGGATATAGAGATAATGTGCCAACTCTCTTGCTGAATTCACTTGCTTTTTTCTCACTGATAGTGTTAATCTGTCTTCTTATTGAAAAGTTTCATCATGACTCATCCTTGAAGTTGGGAAATTCAGCTTTACTGGTAAGTTTATCAGAGGTTCTCAGAATACTCACACTTAAGACTGTGGGAAAAGGATGCAGCTGAACAGTAATATATTAACAATACGTGTTGAAAAATCAGTTCCTTGTTGACTGTATACAAAACATAAATTTCTAATAGTTCTTAATGGCACTACTTCCTCTGTGGATTATGTAGGAAGTGCTCTTGTCTGAATAATCATTCCCCTGGGGTGAGGGGGCGGGGAAGCCTTCAAAAATAAATTCACTTTAGAGAGAGAGAGAATGTGTGTGTGTGTGTGTGTGAGAGAGAGATAGAGACGGAGAGACAAAGGCAGAGAGACAGAGGCAGACTGATCATTACGGAGTATTGTCAGACAAGCACAGATGCCTAATATAATTAAAGAACATAATTCGAAGGTAGCAACAGTACCTAATTATATGAAATACTCTGTATCCTGTTGCTTGTTACCACATTGCTTAAAATAAACAAATAGCAACAAGGAACAGCTAATCCAAGGGTTAAAGAAAACAGTGGTGGGGGAACTAGGTTTTCATTAAACAAAACAAAACAACATTGAAAACTTTAATTGTCTGGACAGTTAGGGAAGAAATAGCTATCACCCTCTCAATGGAATTATCTAGGCCCATAAAGGCAAAGCGGGTTATCTCCCCTCAGTTATCTTGGCTTTGGCTCCAAGTTTCTCTGCTTCATTTTGGATCAGAGATGTCTATGAAGCCAGCTCTGAGTAGGGGTGAAATGATACATTCCTGGAGTCCTCTCTAGTGAAGCTATTTTCAACCTGGGGCTGTTGCGTGTGGGATATGTGTGTGGGGTGTGTGCATTTTTCAGACAATAATCTCCCCATACCCCACCCCTTTGTGATTTTTTAAAAAGTTCTCTTGGTGATTCTGAACTATCTCATAGCCCAGTCACACTTCCACCTCTTCTCAAAACCCGCTGTTTAGGGACTGTGAATAGATTGTTTCTGAAAGGTCCATTAGTGTTCTAGAAGAGTCAGTTAATTTCACATAAGAACCCTTTCATCTTAAAAGAAGTCCTTTTTTTTTTAAAATCAAGGTTGGCGCAGACCCAGGAAGACTAAGAATCTGAACAAATGCAATTTCATATGCGAACACTTGTAAATAAATTAAGAGGAGAGGATGAATACTGTTAGCATGGAGGCTGGGATGGGAAGAACTGAGATGTTTTTCTGACAGATTGAGGTGTGGGGGTCAGCTAACCTTGGAGGTGAGGGTCATTTCTTTAAAAGGAAGGACACGCACACATACATACACCCCTTGTGAAGAGTGGTAGCCTTTCCAGAGAGGAGTTAAGGCTATCCTGCACATAAGCCACTTCCCGCACGTATAGAATGCTTACAAACTCGTGCCTTTACGTGTCTCCTTGCTCCGACTTCAGTTTGCATGTCAAAAAAAGGGTATCTTAAAACTGGTGAGTTGATCTTAGGAAGTGGGGGCAACCTTTATAATGATATTGGCGAGATTTTTGTCGGGGCAATTTTCTACTGTGTTAACCAATAATGTGTGTGTCTCCCTTCCTACTTCACCTCTCAGTTCCTCTTACTGTTAATTTCACATATGTAGTTAGTAAGACAGTCCCAAGAACTAGTTAAACACAAATTTTTTTTTATGAGTCTTAACTTTAGCAGATTCGTACTATTTTATGATATAGAATAAAGCAAATCAAATATCTAGAGACATTTTTCCTGTTGGAGTTTAGGGTGAAAGTGCCCTCCCCTAGTTTTGGAGACTGGAGGGTTAACGACGAGGCAAGGCTGTCAACAACCAGAGGCGTCTCCAGTCCTGACTTTCCTGGAGTGTTTCTCCATTTCTCTCTTTGAATGAATGACCTGAGTAAGAATGCTAAGATTTTCCTTCTTAACCTGACTCTTTTCAAAAGCATGGTGTTACAGACAGTCCTTTATGGTAACCTTATTTTAGTAACATTCAGGTATATAAACTGGTCAAGTCTGATATGACTGGGTCCGTCATCGAGCTATAAATGTGACGTTAACATAAAAAACTGTCGGGAAATGATCTCCCGCTGTGAATTTTCCCAACAGTTGTGATATACTTTTAAAAGCCTTTTTTATTTAAGAAAATTTATTTATCCGAGAAAGCTTAATTGAGAAGAATACTGCATTGGTAAATTGCTCTGTTCAAGACAGCTGCTGCTGTTTCTTTTCAGATTTTGAAACCTAAGTCCCAAATCACAATCTGAATTTAACAGCCTCAAGTAATAATTACCTTTGTGTAATAAGCAGTTCTTAAAAGGGTCTGCCGGTTTCCCGCAATCTTTTACAGAGTGAGCAGAGCTATATCCACTGATAACCAGCTGCCGAGGAACCGAGTGAAACCGACTCCAAACTTCTCAGCTGTTGACAGGCTTGACTTGCTGAGAACACTGGTTAAATATAGCACACGCGAGCTCGGCTCCTCAACAAAGTCATTTCTCTGACAGTGTTGTGAAGGGGGCAGAAGACAGAAACCTAATCTCAGAACCCAACAACACCTAGCAACAGTTGAAAAAACTTTTAAACAAAAGTCTGGGTGGGAGGCATACGACAGCCTCCAATTTCTGCTGATCAGGATTTCGGGGAGAAGAAGCTGCTTTCCCCTTCTCTCTACTCCGTTTCCTGCATGACTTCAGCTATTGGCTAGTCCTAGGAAAGAAAGTGGGAAAAGCTTTTTCCTCTGTATTCTTTTGGGCTGGCTAGTTTTCCAGGACTCCAGTCTCTCTTGGGCTGTGGGACAAGCCACTGGGTTCTTCAAAGGATAAGCTACCTCCATAAAGGACATACCCTTGCCTAAAGGAGCTGCTGCCAGGTAAGAGCCAAATAAACAGCTACTTATTCTCTTCAGAAATTTCTGCTTCCACGAGAAGAGAGTTCTCTCTGATTGTGTTGTCTGTTTCCTTGGCTTCTTTACTGTTGCATTATGTGATAACACAATTAGAAATTATGATAATCATTGTGGATTATTTTTAGAGAATCAGAAACATGATCTTTCTCAGAAGTATACGTATTCTTTTTTAAACACAAAGATTGTTATGATGCTTTAATAGCTGTCAAAATATTTCTGCCAAGTTATCATTCTTTGGCAGGTAACAGAAACATGACAAAGGACAGCTTCACAGCTCCTTCCACGATTAGGGTGGCCAACCAATGGAAGGGATATTTTCCTAGAAGCAAAATAACTTTCATGTATTGAAACTAGCTGAGCAGCTTGTGTGGTCAGTGAGAGGGAAGTCCTGCTTGGTGTTTGTGCTTGTAACTTCCTGCTGCTATCGCTTCTCCTTCTGCCTAATTCTCTAATTACACGGGTACACCTTGTGCTGGTTCTGACCTTGGTGCATATCACCCCGAATGCTTCTAACTAGGCACAAAGTATGCTTGGTAGTAAATCACCACTTTTGTGGTTACTGAGTATGAACTATTCAGGGGAATGTTATTTTGTGGTTTTTTTTAGATAAATTGAATAATTGCTTGTGTATAGATAAAACAGATTCTGATTTTTAAAACTAAAATTGAATTTATTAGAAAAAATCCTTTCTTGAGTTGCATTTAATGTTTAATGTAAGTGTATGAGTATGTTACCATAGTGTGAGGGAAATCCCCCTTTCATCAGTTAGTATATTGTTTCCGCTTCCATGAGTTACCGTACAATTGTATCAGAATTGCCTAGAGTGTCGAATTTCATGGTGAATCTGACAAACGTTATCGCTGTATGTTGGTAAGGTGGTTGGTATTGACACCTGGTGTCTGAGGTTGAGTTGGATTGCATAGGAAGTTTGTTCCTGTAAATGAACATGATCATTCGAATGAATATTCTAATCTAAGGGTAATATCAAAGAAGATACAGATGCACGTTTTAAAAGGAATTTTGAGTCTATTTTGTCAGGCTAAGGAAAGAATTTACCCAAGGCCAGTTTTGAATAAATTGTTTATTGACAGATAGGAATGTATCAATCCTTTCAGTGAATGTTCTTATTTTAAGAAAAACTAATTAATACTTATATATTGTATGTTAAGGAAAATGAAATAGTACATACATTTCAGTATGTATTATGTTTTGTAAGTAAGTTAAGCTAATCGTATATAATGAATGTATACAAGAAACAGTGCAAAATGCACTCTGGAAACCTTGGTATCACAGAAGGAAACTCCTGGTGCCTTAGTGGAGATGAAGTATCTTTGTCTTGAAAGAGTTTGAAAAGTCAGAACTAAATGCTTTACATTTTTCTTGTTTTTATCTTAGGAAGGGTCGCATTGTTGGCTTATAAACGTACGCGTAAGGCCAAAGCCAACTATTAGTTCTAGGCATGTGATTTCTTTTGGAGTCAGTGGAACAGTGTATAGATAACTGACTATAGCATCTGGCCCTGAGTGAGAGCCGTGTTTCCTGATGAATTGATTTGTGAGTATCACTGTCTTCATAGATATTAAGTTTACCCTTGAGAATCAAAAATAGCTCAGGTTAGACCGTGTGCTTTCCTCCAGTGTATGAACAATCAAACGCTCCACAAACCACGCAGATTCTGTTCTCTCGTTCACTCAAGTTTGCGTTTCCATGTTATTTTGGAGTCTTCCCTTTCTCCTTCACCGGAAGAGTTGTTAGGTTCCATTGCCGTATCTCCCACCACGCCAAGGCCTGTGCCCTTTACTTCAGTCAGGACTGTAACAATGCTGCTCCCTTCCCACCCCTCATTGCCATCCAAACCATCTTGCCCATAACCATGGGGTGAACTTTCCTAAAGCATTGCTATGCCGCTCTCTCTACTCTTCAGTTATCTTCCTGGACTCCTGGTTGCTGCCAAACAGCTACCCTGAGTACTCTGAAAACCTTCTATCATCTGGCACGTACTTAACTTTTCCAGTCTCAGCTCCCACTGCTCAACAAGTGTCCCTCTGCTTCAGATACTTCAGATTTTGGGCCATTCTCCAAACACATGCACAGTGCATATTTTAGTGGTCCACCTCTGCCAGTTCCATTCCCCTGCCTGGAACGCCTTTCCTCCCCCTTCCACTCTTTAAAACCCAGAACAGTTCTGCCACTTTCGCAATGATTTCCTGGACCATACCTTTGAGAAGTGATTCCTTCTTAGTTTTGACAGTTTGGTGCTCTGTTAGAATAGGGTACTTCGGAGCAGGGTTTGCTTCTTCCAGTTCAGAACAATTTTATGAAGGTGATCAGCTGAAAAGCATGGTCTTAAGAATCACTTGACTTTGGAGCTTTTCAACCCCATGCACATTGTAGATGTTCTATTAACAGTTTTGGCTCTAGAATTTCTTTCTTTTCTTTTTGTTTTTTTAAGATTGGCCCTGAGCTAACATCTGTTGTCAATCTTCCTCTTTTTTTTTATTCCCCAAAGCTCCAGTACATAGTTGTGTATGCTAGTTGTAAGTCCTTCTAGTTCTTCTATGTGGGGCGCTGCCACAGCATGGCTTGATGAGCGGTGTGTAGGTCTGTGCCCAGGATCTGAAGCAGCGAGTCCTAGGCTGCTGAAGCAGAGCGTGTGAACTTAACCACTCGGCCACAGGGCTGGCCCTTGGCTCTAGATTTCTGATAACGAGTATGTAAGAAAGTATAGATAAGTATAAAATCAAGAAAAGCAGCTGTTAAGTGTGGTTAATAGCTTTTTATCTCAAAAATTTCTCAGGGGAAGTCTTCACAGTTTTACTATGCACAGAAAAATTACAAGTTACTGTAACTATCTATGCTCATGTACCTGATTGTGGAGATGATGTCCCTCTCGAGAAGGAAGTGGAAAAGGGGCTGTGTAAAGACTGCCTATATACATGCACGTCCTCGGTACGCACCTCTACCTATAGACAGTGTAACGCACAGACTGGCATCGTCTTTTGGTGTCAGAGTCTCCTCCTGGTTGCCTTTGGTACTATTCGTTTAAATCACGGCTCTTTCTATTTGTGGGTCACTGTGGATTTGAATCTGGCCTTGAACATTAAAATATTTAAATATCATGTTAGGATCCTTTATTTTTCTTTTCTCCCAAATATTTTTAAAAAAGAAACACTTAGTTTTATTTTTAATCACTCACAAAATCTGTAGACCTACAGTGTGAGGGGAAGCAGGAATCAGGATTTGGAAGCAGTTTTTTCTGTTTCTCTAAAGAAAAGCATTTTCTTTATGTTTTAAGATGGCCAAGGAGGTTGAAATTACTCTTCCAAACGGGTGTTCAGCAAGAAGCACTATGGGATTTTCCCAATTAAATTTGTGAAATATTTAATATATTCGTTTAACAATGGTTCCCCTTTGGTTATAATTTTTACTTATTCTTTAGAAGTGAAACTTTGTAGTAAAATACATATTCTAAACTAATGCTAATTATGTTTTTCTTTTTTGGAAGATGAGCATTTTTTCATAAAAGAGGTGACCTAAGAAAGAGGGTTTTACAGAGCTTGTTTCATCTGCATCTTCACTCATCTGTCTCATCTTATTTCTCTAAGCATGTGGGGTTTAGAAAAGCAGCGTCACGGGGCGTGTCGGAGCAGCTTAGGTTGAGCTCTATTTTAGCAGAAAAGTTCAAGAAGAAAAGACTGGTAACAACTTGTTAGAAAAATGGCCTCTAAAAGCCTGCAGTATAAATTTGTTTGTACATTAATTATTTTTGATGTATGTAGCAACAGAATAAAAGGTAAGATAATAAAATACATTTTGTTTCCTTAAATCTGAGTTGAAGACATGAAACAAGGACATGTTCCTCAGCATGGAGGAGGCAGGAAAGGCTCTAGCTTAGGCAGCCAGGTGGCCTGGCTTCCAGTCCACTGTGACCCTGGGCAAATGATTCTCTGTGCCTCAGTTTCCTCATCTGTAAAATGAGGATAATAATATTATCTTCCTCCTAGAGTTGTTTCAAAGATTAAATGAGTTAATAAAACTTACAGTTGCCTGGTAGACTTTTCAATAAATATAAGCTGTTATTCTTTATTACCACACCTTAAATGTAATTATCTGTTTATTTTTAATGTGCTGCACACAAAATTCTTACATACGGATAGCCTGTGAACTCAGGTTCATAGATCATAGGAAAGGCAGAAAAATGCACTGCTTCAGTTTGGCATCCTGTTTGGGGCATGCTTTGCTGCCGGGTACGCTGAGAAGACAGAGTTTGAACGCCAGCCAATAATTTAGTGAGGAATTTATGTTTCAAACCCTCCCTTATCACTCAGCAGTCTGCTGTCTTACAGAATCATTACTAAAAAGGCTAAGAAATCCCCCGCAGCATAGACTGTTCTACGCTTTCTATATTTGCACTGGGAGATGAAGTGTGTTTACACACAGTGCTGGGTGTCTCTTATATACGATGACACCGGGTAATGGATGGCAACGGAGACTTCCTCCTCCATGGAGGGATACGTTATTAAATTCATCATTCTTTATTTCTTCCCTTAGATGTTTTGTTTTGTTTTACTAACCTAGTAACAGATAAAAATGAAAAGACCAAAAAAGGTCATCTCATGCTAGCTTCAACCTTACCAAATGGAAATGAATTCTTGCTATTCATTGCCCTTAATCCTATTCATTCTTCTTAAACATGACAAGAAAGTATATCCCAAGGCAAGCAAAAAGAAAGTGTTATATCGTAAAGATGTGTGTGGATATTATGGGGCACTTACTACTCTGTATATTTAATTTAACAAATACGTTTATGAAGCACCCTTGTAAACGGGGCAGTTTCTTAGTAGCATTAGTGTCACAAAAACTTTTTGCGGGGTGGTGATGGTTTAAACTTGTCCATTTTGCTTTATTTTTCCCAATTGAAAGGATGAGTTTCTAAAAGATAAGGCAAACTGAGTTTTAGCATT